GTTTATTAGTGGAGAACGATGGTAATGTTTACCAGGGGGTAAGGCAGGGAATACCTAGGTTTCGGAAAGAGCCACCAATCCTCATCAGTTCCCTTGTTTTTTGTCTGGGATATTCTCCCCAGAAGTTATTTTAAAATAACTTCTATGACAAAAAACATTTTTTACCCAAGTGACGAGATCGTAAGCTCAATAGAAGAGGAACCAAAGAATTAAATAAAACTAAAATTCTTTTGGAAAGTCTTCTAAATCTTACAACCGCACTTATAACCATTTTCATCTTTCTCCACTTGTTATGCTTTCGTTCAACCTTTTTGTCATAGAAGTTATTTTAAAATAACTTCTGGGGAGAATATCCCAGACAAAAACAAGGGAACTGATGAGGATTGGTGGCTCTTTCCGAAACCTATGTATTCCCTGCCTTAACCCCTGGTAAACATTACCATCGTTCTCCACTAATAAACAAACGTTGATTTTATAAAAACAACAATAAAGGGATAAGCCTGACCATTTTGCAACAACAAAATACTACGGTATCCCGAACAAACAAGCCCACTGTTCTGTTATGTAGTTTTTTTATTATTTTATTATTTGACAATTAATATTTTAGACCAAATTCCGTGATATATTCCACACTTCATTGACATTGACAGGAAAATCTCTTCAGTGGTTTTGTGTCTTAAATTACAAACGTACAAACATTTTCCTCTTTTATAGATATAGATTAACATACAAAAATACTTCCTAATATTTTGACTTTACTTCGCTGGATTTATGTTAAATGTTCGAAATTTGAATTGTATTACTTGTAGAACAGTTGATTAAAAACACGGTCTTAATTTCAGGTATTTTTTTACGTTTCTGCCATATGTTCCAACTATTTTACAATTTTAATAGTCTCAGTAAGAAGAACCTTCCCTACAAAAAAAATATCAATTTTCCACAGTCCAAATATGCAGGCACATTACGTTTTTATTATCTATTTTGAGCGTTTAGCCATAGCCATACATATTGGGGACCCTTTATCTAAGCTAAGCAAATACTATCTTCTTCAATTTCATTGAAAAAAATGACGAAAATGTATGTACGTTCGTTTGTAATATATGTACTCGAAAACCGCTGCACAGATTTTCCTGAAAATATCCAAGTATGCTACTAAATCGCCTGAAAGTAACATAGGTTATATACATTTTTGAAATTCCACTTGGAACTGGAGATACAGCATCAGAATCGGAGGTACCTTCAAAAAAATTAGATTTTTTATGCACATATCTATTGATCGTTTACAAATACACTCTTCAAATTTGGAATGCGTAAAGGAATTTGGAACAAAAATAAATTTTGTCAAATTATATTAAAATCGGTATAGATTTGAATAGATCCCATTTATTTTCGGCCGATTTCACATATTTGATGCACTCAACACGATATGTAGGTCCGACTCCAATGAAATTCGGCATGTGTGACTTAATTTGGTATAAAAATAAATTTGTCAAATTATATTAAAATCGGTTCAGATTCGGATATGATTGTGCCCTTGCAATGGTATTAGGCTTACAGTAAAAAACTACACAAAAATTTAATTGAGGATACGAAGTACGTTGCTGCCTCGATTTCTGTAATTGCAACAAAAATGCCACTCAACTTCTAAAGATTGCAAATTCCCTGCAGGCTATGCGGACTAAATTTTATTTTTTTTCGAAAGGGGTAGCGGAGCGCACCGTTCTCAGCTAATACACACATATATATATATATATATATATATATATATATATATATATATATATATATATATATATATATATATATATATATATATATATGCGTTGACAGATAAAACGACAAAAATATGGGTTTTAAATGAATATTAACCTAGCGTTTAAAAGGCCTTAACATTGATAACTATATGTTGTTATGATATAAATTCACCTTGTGACAATAATTACTCTGCCTTGTCAAATATTTATATTTCTGTCTTTAGTTTAAAGTATGAAAAGTCATAATAACACAATTCTCAAAGCAAAACTGTAGAAATGCCAAATCACAATAAAATTATTTTTTCATAAAATTAAAAAAAGAATGGGCTCAACCGGGATTTGAACCCGGGACCTCTCGCACCCAAAGCGAGAATCATACCCCTAGACCATTGAGCCGCATGATATTTGTCTGCATACATGCCTTTCCAAAGATACAGCACATTTTCATTCACGTTGTTGAGATTGATTTTTTTTTCTTAGATGGAAATGTGTGTTGAACAAGACAATGTGTTTTGCTAGCCGAAGTGATATCACGAATAAATAAATTATGCCGCAAAGTATGCTACACAGACTGAGGAAAATATAAATTGTTTCTTAACGGCCTTAGCGCTTATTACACTTTCGCTATGGATTACAGTCGGGCAAATCTTTTTATAGCGTGATTTTACCTAAAAAATAGGCGGGACAGATTTACGTAAAAACGTTGAACGTTTACAGCATTATCTGCCCATTTGTCCCCGTTTCTGCGTTTATGACTTTCGAAGTTATTTAGAGAAGGATATACTTTTGCAAAAATTTAATTTTTCATAGAAATGCTTCAACTGAATTAGGAGGCCATTTCGTGGGAATATCACTGTGCTCAGTCGTGTTTGTAAAATAAGATTATTCTGAAAAAATTCTCACTCATCTGCGTACACCGTACACAAAAAGTTTGCACCGATAAATGGTGACGTCTTTGAACATAACTGTTTTTGTAATTATATTACTTTTTGTGTATTTTTTTTTGACAAGTTCAAATTTATATCTATGAGCTTTCTCGAAACAGAACTATAAAAGCTATAGCACTATTTGTGTAAATAAGCGATATGTCTTTCAGAAGCCTCTTTTCTCCAAATTCAGATCTTATCAAGATTCACAAGTCAAACCATCCACACTATTGTAGCCCACATTGACTGATTTATGTTTCGATATTCGGACAGGGGAAAGAAAGCACCTTAACCTTAAACATATTTCGTAGGATTTGAAAAGATCCAATTTTCCTCAACCTCTGTAAATATTATCCGCCAAAGTTAGATAAATAAATGCGCTGATGACTTGAACGCAATTAATGTTATTAGGATATTCAAATCAGGTCAGAAGTTGGGTTCCAGTAAATGATTTTCGACCACATCTAAACCTAAGAAATACCAGGTGCTACATTTTTTAATAATTATAACTCTTACCAAATGTGAAATAAGCATCTAATTGTCTTCAAATTACACACATCACAATTTTTTTATTAACCCAAGGTCTGGTATGAAGACGTAATATATCGGTCCTCATAAAACACGAAATTAACATTCGATTTCTTCAGACTTTGCACATCTCGATATATCTATCAACACAAGATCCGTTATAGAGATGGTAGAGATCGGACCATTCCTTCTGGTACCTCTCCTACATAGGGTTCAAGTTTTTTTTTTTTTTGAGAAACAAAACGCGACAGAAAGCGGAATAACAATACAACTTTCTTCAAATTTCACACATCACAATATTTTTGGGAATTTGTTGTGAGGATGATATATATCTGTCATAACTTGCGAAACAAGTCGGCGATTATTTAGAAATTGATATATTTTAACAACATTTTAATTGTAATTGGAGAATACCATTTGTTATTCAAAACATTTCTATTGTTATTTCAATTATTTCATTTGAATTATTTTAATTGCAATTCGATTTATCTTGTTTGAAATTAATGTTAAAAATTTGATTTTTTTGTTTCGAATTCACGAAATTAAAAAATTCGAATTATAATTGGAAGTATTTGAAGTTCAAATCAAATTATTTCAATAAAAACATAAACATTTGAATTACAAATAGAGTCATTCAAACTTTAAATGGTATGTAACGAATTACAAATGAAATTCTTGATTTACAAAAAAGGGGTAAAAGAAAAATAATTAATTTTAGTGATGAGATTCTCCGACTTATTTTGAGCTAAATCATAGTTTCATACGTATCTGTGTAAAGCTGAAATGTTCTTCTTTCAAAGCTGATATTGAGATACCCTTAGAAGTTTCCGAGTCCGAAAGGTAGAATGTAACAGCCAAATGAGCTCGTTACATCCACTCTACTTAGTAGTGTAGGGGTCTTACGGCTTATTTTCAAAAAATTTTCAGTTGATATTAATTGCACATAACCGAAAAAAGTCTATTATCGAATTATTCATTAGTAATTTTATGGATAACCAGATTGTACACATTACTTCATATTATGAGTCGATTTATTGAAATATCCACCTCGTTATGTATTCTGTACTTGTCTATTTACTATGTTCAGGATTTTTGATATTAAGGATTTTTAAAGTGGCACTTGCTACTCACAGGGGACTCGACAAAATTTTTTAATATTTTGCGAAAATCGCAGTCGTTTGTATTTGGAAATTGTTACACCCTTCTTGATCAACAGAAAATTCTATGTCAATTTAGCCATGCCTGGTATTAAAAATGTAGCATATAGTTCCACGTTTAGCATTTATGTCACATTTCACACAGGAATTAGTATTTAAAGTTCGTAATGCGTACGAATTCTTGTGACAGAAAATTGCTTATGCAGATCCACGTTTTCCTTTTTATATCTATATCTTTTTTAATAGAAAATTATCTCTACCGGTCCACATTTTTGTATAGCTCCCTTATAACTTTACCCAACCATATTCTGTATTTTGATCATTTTTGCCACATCGTTGCCACAGATAATTGTTTTATACAAGTCCATGTTTTCGTGTAAACTGCTGTTTTTTATGCGGGATTTTTATGAATTTTGCAAGTTCCTTCCAAATGATGGAGGGTATTAAAAGTTTTGCACAGTCGTATTTATCTGCTTTTTTACTTACATTAAAACTAAAAAAATTGACAATTTGAGAGAAAAAAAAAAATGTCTCGTTCTTATTTCGGATCCGATTGACCCTATGTCGCTTTTACTTTGTTATAAATATATTGTTTTCTGAAATTGTTAAAAAAAAACTCTTGTAAAACAAAACTCTTATGGAAATGGAAAAATGTAACTTTATTATTATTTACATGAATTTACATAAATATACACATGGACAATACTATGAAACGGATATTAGTTTTTACTTTATTTATATTTACACTGAAAGCATATTTACGGTTTCACTTTGAATGTCAAAGTATTCTATACTAACTAAAAACAAAATTCAACGAAGCAAAGAGAATTACTTGCTCTGGGTATCCATCGATCAAAAATATGTTACCCTCAATTTTCAAACATTTCTAAAATCCAATTGACACCACAAAACGGAAATTCCAATGAAAAAACTTTCTCTTTGCTCCCCCGATACATTTATGCTGAGACCAAAACTAAAACTGTACATATTTAGGAAATTGGAAAATTTTCAAGGGTTTATCTTAATATTGCAACTAAATAATATTTTTAAGCACCTTAACAGTAAAGAAGAGAGTGATAGGCGGGTAAGTGAGATGTGTGAGGGAGATGTAGACAATGAGATGTAATAGGATAGTTGTTCGTTGGGAATCTCTGCAATCAGTTGAAGATGTCTTCAAGCAATTCCTTTGTTATAATTCGATGTGGCCGAGTTGGATTCACTTTTGGACGCTGATATAAACGAGCGTTTATCGCATAGAGCCTTGGCGACAAATCGCAACGCACATTGAACCACCAGTCACAAACAAAAACGGCTTGCGAGAATTGTGTTCCGTTTGGACACAAGAACGATGCCTGCCGACCATCAATATCGCAGTAGTGCCAACCTGAAATTAAAAAAAAAATGAAATAGCTTTATTGAATTTGTAAAATTGTATTAGGTGTTGGAACAGTTATCCCTATCTGATATATGTTTGTAAAGCGTCCCCCATTCATTTGAAATTGTATTTTATTTCTTAATTCTCTACGTCGTTAAGAGGGAACTACGGAGGGGAGGGTATATTAATCATGCTATGAAGGGTCTATTGACATTGTTAATCCATTTGGTACAAAGTATTCGAAGTTGATTCAAATTCAGAAAATAGAAGAAACACAACTATATTTTGATCGAATTCAGATGTGACAAAGAATGTGCCTTACATCAAAATTTGAAAACATTTTATTTGCTCTGCCTAAAACAAAAGTTTGGAATTTATTATTAAAACAAAGTTTATTTATTTTTTTTTTTTTTCAATAAAAATATTTGGCTGGCTTGTTTCCTTGACAGGGTAATATATATTTCGAATATTTTGCGTTTTTTTTTTTAATTATTGAAATAGAGATTTCTTTTCTTTGGTAACTCATGATGTCTTTTTATAAAGGATATTTTTGTCATTGTCGTCATCATTCTAAAATTATGATTTGTAATAATTATGAACTCCTTGCATCCCAGTAAGATTTAGACATTTGATGTATTCTATGACAGATAAATTATAGAATATTTTGATTTGTTACGATCCCATTTAAGTGGAGTTTTAAACTCTATTTTGAAAAAATACACGTTTGATTGACTTGTGGGTTAATATTTTCGACCAATCCGAAAATATTAAGCCAGTAAGGAAAAGTCAAAAGTCGAACGAAACCGACTATATGATACCCTACATATTTTGGAGAGCTCCCGTAACAAAAGATTTTATTCGAAGTAGATCCTACCACCTATCAACATTTGGCTTTCGACTAAATTTGACGGATATATTTTTATCTTTTATCAAAACGTATGTCCCGAAATTCACTCCATTTGGGCTGATATAAGCCATAATTTGCACAATAAACCTGAAATCGGATAAAGAATATATATGGAAGCCATATCCGAATCTTAGCCGATCCCGATAAAATTTGGCAAAGGTATTTAAACGCTATAAGATATCTGATACCAAATATCATTCTTGTGGAGTGCATATTACGAATGTGAGGGACTTTAAACCTCAAATCGGATGAAACATATATATGGGAGCTAAAGCTATGTGCCAAAATTCATTTGGTCATTTGGACTGATATTGGGCATTTAGTGCACAATTAATCCGAAATCGGTTGAAGATATGTATATACGGGAGCTATATCTAAATTTGAACCGATTCTCACCAATTTCAATAGGGTTCGTCCTTGAGCCATGTCTTGTTTGCAAAATTTTTTGTCAATTGAACAATTAATGCGACCTACATTTTGTTCACAAGAATGCATCGACAGACGGACGGACTGACAAGCATAAATCGACTCAGAAAGTGATTCTATGAAGATTCCAAGAGTAACTATGGGTCTATCTCGCTTCTTTCTTCATGTTACAAACAAATGAACAAAGACATAATACCCTTACCACTGTGTGTGGTGTAGGGTGTAAAAAATGCTGTATAGGGGAGAACTTTTCTTCTCTTTTTTATACCCTAAAACACTATGTGTTGGGGGTGTTATAAGTTTGATTGGGCCAAAAATTATGTAACACCTCGGAATATTGGTCCCCGACATTGTAAACTACATATGGATCTTCTTATCTCGTCGAGCTGAGTCGATGTATGTATGTTAGCTATGTATGTCCGCCGTCCGTTTTTCCGTCTGTCCATGTTAATTTGAAATCAAGCTACAGGTCGCAATTATGAACCGATCCTCACGAAATTGTTTTTGGAGATGATCGCAAAATATTTACGGGTTAAAATGGACCAAAAACAGAAAAAAATTCTTGATTTTGCTGTGGCTCTACAGGCCACAATTATAGACCAATCGACGCGGAATTTTGCATGGAGTTAGAGTTTAGGGCTGTGCAGAAGACTTCCTATTTGGTTGGTTATTAGACCATATTTAGGGGGTAAAATAGACCATAACTTTTATGTAAAAAATACGAAAATATCCACTAAACCGCGAATATTTTTAATCCTGGGGAAATCCCAAATACCCGAAAATGTAAATTCTGACCGTTACATTGATGATCATATGCAAGATATCGCAAATATAGCAAATTATATGCAATTTCATACATCAAAGAAGGGGATGCTAGTTAGACCGCTAATATGTCAAGAACCGCTGGATTGATTTTCACAATTTTTATCAATTCGGAATGTTCTTTTCCCAAAAAAGGATAAAATCTAAGAAAATCGCGTAAAAATATTCCAATAAAAAAAGCGAATATTTTTTGTTACATTTTTTCAATTTTTGTCAAATTTTTTATCGCATGATATTTTTTCATATTTGACTTACAATGTTGAATTTTAGGTTTTGTAATATTTTTCACTTTTTACACAATATTTTCTTACCTTGACACCGGGTCTCCATGTCTGCAAAGAATCCTGGATACGGTTGTTCATCGCAGTAGAAGTTTGTGTATGGAATTGCCGACAATATGGGATAATCTACACCGGGTCGTCCTAAAAACAAAAACAAAATGGCTATAGAATTTCATAATTTCCAAATATATTCCAAACAAGTTTTAAAGGAGTGACTTTTATGGATGGCGAAAGAAAAACGCAACCCCTCTCCCGCACTGAAACAATCGATTTTTTTTAGTTGGTCATGTACTCGAATCTGAGGAAAAAAATTATAAATGGATACAAATGTCAAGCTAACAAAACAAAAAAAAAATGAAACAACAACATCATCATATGTAGTCCATACTAATAGACCCCAATTTGTTGGCGATGCATAAAAGTGTCAAATGCATTTGGATTGTGGAAATCCACGTAATTTGACCAAAACAGAACAGAGCGAAAAAAAGAAAATAACAAAATTCAATCGAATGCAAACACGACAAGAAGAACACAAGAATATTATGACTATGGACAGCAGCATTGGAAGTGTGCGTTTATTTGTCGCATCAGCCGGACAAAGAAACAATCAGCGCCAGTCGGTATCCCGCAGCATCAAACCTCGTCCTAACCGAGCTCTCCAGCCACACTCCCCGGCCGAACACAGTGTGTGTTCTCCATTAATAAATGAATTTACGAGAGGATGCACTTTAAAATTCAGTCGTAAAAAATGTTTGCCGAAAGTATTTTTTATGAGATTCGATGGAAAATGCATTCATTTACTGGAGCAACAGCATCGCAACAAATGAAAATGAATCGCTGCAGCAGCGTTGGGCAATGAGGTGGCTGACCAATACTGCCATCAACTTCAAATGCCCATCCATAAATGGAGTTCTGTTTTTTTGGGTATTATGGTGTGTGTGTGTGACATGATGCTAGTAAATTTCCAATTTCTTCCATAAACAAAGGCACGAGCAACAAGTTCGGTGCTCTGTCGTGCATATGGAGGTTGCAAGATTCTTCCAAAACAATTATGACTGCCTCGAGGTTATTTTTGCGGTCAATTAGCACTGCAGCATATGCGTTTGGTTTGCTTCAACATTTGGTTGCCGTAAAAAAGTTCGGAGTTGGTTCAAAATCAATTTATTTTTGTAAAAATACTCACTAGCAAAAATAAAAATATCTTTGAAAAAAAAAAAATATATATATATTAAGCTCCTTTTTGGAATAAGGTATTCATAAGGGGACATCAATTGATACCGGTGCTGAAAAGAATATTTTAAATCTGTCGGTGTAAGTCAAGCCTCTCAACGCTCAATGATTATACAGCAATTAGTCTCAGACAAATAATCTATGTCAAATGAGGAAACTGAGGTACATTAAAAATGTGAAATTACAAGTCCAGGCGCACAGATTTGCTCGTTTTTACTCTGAGTGAAACTTGCTCGCGAGCGGTATTGTTCGAGGAGTAGAATTTGTACATGGATTTTACATTTCACTCTTTTGTTTTGTGTGGGAGCGCTCCCAAGTCTCTTCTGTTTCGAAAATTAGAGGGACGAGGAGTGTTTGCTCTTAGAGTGAAATCGAATGGGAAAAAATATATTGTTTCTGATTTGTCTGTGTGTGTGTAACACAAAACAGTTTCGATGTTGCTGTAAACTTGGGAGAGGGGTTAATAGTGAAAGAAATCAAAGGAGAGAAACACTAGAAGAAAGGGCGCAGTGGATTCTGTTTACAACGCGTTTGGTGTCGTTTAGTTTGCTTCTGTGGTTTAAGAAAATACACACAAAATACAATTCTTACTCGGCAAGAGTAGAATATGCTCGTTTCCGAACAAATTTTGCTCTCACTCCAAATCGAGAAGTGTATACTCGCCCATATTCGAGCCAAAACGAAAATTGCTCGTTGTTTTTTTTCTACCTCCGAGAGTTTCACTGTACTCGTTTGGATTATTGTTACTCTCCTCTCTTTCTCACAAAGATCTTTAGTTTTTTATGCTCTATCTACTGTAAAGTATCTCCAGATTTAGATTAGGCAAGTTTACTTGTTGTAATTTTTTTCGTTCACTTTTAAAGTTGCCTCTTTCATTTATACAAGTCAAATCTATCCCAAAAAATTCGATTTTTATTTATACACAAAAGGAATTGCTTGAAATTATGTATGATATGTATGAACCTTTCTTTCCTTTTCCATCATCTAACTCCCCTAGCAACGGAGACTTGCCACAAGTAAACTTGCCTAGTGTAAATTTGGACTGTTACTTGAAATGAAATTATTTCTTTTGATTCAATCAATTGCGACATCTAGTTTACCTGGTATTGATTTTCCCAACTCCAGATATTCTCGTACCGAGGGACTTAAAAAATTCGTTGGTATTTCTGGAATGTCTTTATCAGGATTACCATTATCATCACTTTCCAAATCTTGTGGTGGTTCGGGCTCAAAAATTATTGTAGCCGGAGCTCTGGGTCTCTTTGCCCTTTTTGAACGTACTGTCTCCCGACAATCTGAAAAAAAGTGAAATGAACAAAATTAAATCATCTATGTATAAATACAAAATTTAATAAACTAAGGATGGAATATCATTCGGAGTGATGAGGAATTGTGAAATGTGTCTGGTCTATTGGTGTAAGGGAAAGCATGCAAAGGGAAGTCGTCAAATGTTTCACTCGGAGATCCTTAGCCCTATCTTGCCCTCTCTCCCACCTGGGAAATACCCTATGTCCTTGTGGGATAAGAAGGGAGATCTGCTTAATAGGTGTTTAATTGTGGCTATTTTTTCACCAGGAACACCGTTATCTCATCCTGAGGTCAGTTATCTGATACTGCAGTTGCCAGTCAGTAAGTTTACCGCGATTCTCAGACCAGACCTACTAAGTGTCAGAAGTGAGCTTGTTGTTCTTCTCGAGTTTACCGGCCAGATGGCCTTAGAGAACCAGAAATCGGTCTCTAAGTGCCATCTTCTTCCAGATTCCTCGATGAGAGATTTTTTGAAACAATTGACATAATAGCTTATTGGTGATTTAACAGTCTCATCAATCGGATCCGCCTGGAGTTAATTCATCAGCCACTTAATTTCGTGGAGGGCGCGTGTCAAGACTGGCTCTCGATTTAATGGCACTTGATTTGATAGGTTTGAGGGCCGTCAGACAGACCGGGATCTTCCAGAGGAAAAGGTGGACATGTAATCACTAATTCTATCAGAACTTGGACATACTGATTAATTGGTATGTCCAGGATTCGTGCATGTCCAAACCGAGAAGAGTACCATTCCCAGCTTCCCGTAGTCTCAACGCACCTCTTTGCTGCTCAAAATTGAATTGTAATATCCAGTGGCTGGAACTTTAGTAGCATATTCAATGCAATGATTGCAATACAATGTGGTTAATGTTGATTCAATCGCGTGCCACTATCCAATGTATGTACATATATACATCCAGTGTACATCTTGTAATGTAAGACCCCAGCTCTTCCCTATGGCGTTGTGCAACGTGGTCCTATTGCGTACGCTCATCGTAGTTCTAAGATCGTACTGATGTATTTAGCAGACGAGGAAACATTTAGTCCAACTCCATCCAGTACTGGAAACGAAAATTGATTTTTTTTTTTTTGAGTAGTACTTATTCATATTTCGCAGGGTGTACTCCAACCCCATTGTCAAGGGTCCAACCAGACAGCTGCACTAGTGAGCTTTACATTAGATCAGAAAAAGTAATAATTCAAATTGGTCGAAACTCACAAATATCTTGTTGATCAACAGAAGCAGAGGTAAGCCAACCCTCTCTCTTTCTTATGCTCGAATTGATTACCCTTCATTTTTATATTCTATCAATCCATTTAATCAGTACAGATGAAATACCAGATCATTGTTTCACATTGTTAAAAGCTCCCACTATATCGAGAACAGCCACCAAAGTAAAGTTGGAATTTTCCATAGGTTTCCCAATGTATCCGACAACTTTGTGTTGGCCTCTTTCCATTGACGAAACTTTGACACAGAAGTGCTGCGATGTACCTATTATGTTTGTATGTAGATATGAACGAATTTCCAGGTCCAGTAACCTCCCCTAGGTCTTCATTAGAAAAAAAAAGATTCTATTCGGTCTAATGTGTGACTTTGTTTTCCGTCTTTGAAAATATATGTCACCATTACCTATTTCCACAGACAGGTGTTAAAGGACATTTGGTATACAAACGCAGGCTTTTGTATCTGGTGGATATATGCGAATCATATGTGCCTTTTTCGTGACACTAGGAAGATACCGAAGCGATCATTCTATGTTAATAAAATAAATTATACAAGTTAACAGAAGTGTGTGGTTCCCCCGAACGGTTTATCTTTTGGGTCTGTTACAATAAATTCTGAGTTCAACTCGCCGGGCATAACCACACCTTTAACATAGGATATATAAAAACTAACCAAAAATCGTTTTTCCTGGAAATGTATTATTCCTTATTTTTATATTAAAAGGAATAAAACGCGTTATTAACTTATTGTTCATTGACGTCCAAAAGAAAAGGATATACCAATTAGCAGTCCAGGGGCTGGAATCTTGTTCTATGAAAATATGAAATGAAAAATATTTCCTTTATAAAATTGTTCATTTAACATTTCTGTCCTTTATAAAAGATTTCATTTCACATTTTCATAGAACAAGAATTAAGGCCCAGGACCATTCTCTTGGTCCCTTATGGAAAATATTGAGAAGGTCATGACGATTACTATCCATTGGAATTACAAAAAGGTAGGGACATTCAAAGCGTTTCCAAGGAAATCCTTTAAAAAGGAAAATTTAATTGGCCCCTATACCCTACAGGGCAAAATAACGTCTGAATCCCCTTCCTGTGTGACCTTCTTGTATAAATCTTGTGTTGGTTCTACATAGACCTTGCCCATACAGTGTTAGGCAAGGTATGACATAAATATAATTGTATGATTTCTTCAACGAATATCCTGTTAAAATTGTGTAACATCATTATACAACGATTTAGTTTTGGATTTATTTATATAGTGGATTATTTATATAGTATTATTAATGGATTTATTTATATAGTATTATTGTATTATAAAAAATTCCCCACCATTTAATATTGGACAAATTGTGCTTCACACCATGTTGTTCCAGCTGACTCTTTGTGGCACCAACTGGCTTTCCTTGTACCACCAAACTTCGCAATAGAATCCCTGTTAATTCAATGCCTTGTTAATGAATCACATTTTGTGATTTCCAGTAATTCGCAGTTGTGTTGTAACTTTTGGCTACGGCATCTCCCTCAACACGACTCCAATCTTTCAGTTTGCCTTGCTTAGTTTTGATGCACTCCGTCGTCAGCGATGGTTTTGAGTTGAATAAAACCTTGAGTTGTATAGTATTTTTTTTTCTTATCTCAGTATAAAATACGAATAATGTTCCTCCTTCCCTTCTCATCGTTGGGGTGTCTTTCAATAATGCTGAGAACACTTAGTAGCATTCGATTGTTTGCTGTGAAAATTTCCACCGCAAGATCCATCTCCGTATGTTGACAATGTTGCACGGTTTCGTTTGCCAAGGTTAACAGACACCACCGTAGTCGCTTCTCAATGGTCACGTTATTGTGCAATTAATTGTATTCTTCATAATTGTTTTAAAGTTGAATCGAAAAGATAATGTGAAATTAAAGATAATTTTGGTTTTTACCTAATTTCGTATATTTTTCTCTATTATTTCAGGTAAGAGATGTGTGGAAATGTCGCATGATTGGTAAGTTAAGATTGATTATTGCCGTGTCACGCTAGCCGCATGAGACCTGCTGGGAGGATTTCACAAGAACAAAATAATGCAAATTACTTTTGAAAGATTCCAACTTAATCGAAAGTATTAAGACATCAGGCAGGTCATGAACTTAATTTAGTCCCAAAATCTGCACTGGAAACCAGTTACATTCAGATTTTACTTCATCGCAAGTCGATCAGAATCACTAGTTGAATCAAATAGATAGGAATACTGTCAAATTGGTGACTGAAACTCGCAATGTCAAATGTTTAACCACGACATTATGAGGAGATGAATAGATCCATAATATTATCAGTACATATTGGTCTATGTTTTCAAACACCTCGAAATATTTTTCGAAACGCCATGAAGGGTATAGGGCAACAAAAGTCAAACTCTATAATTTTTACATATTTTTTTTTTTTTTATTTTAATGAATGAAAGCAAAAAATGTCGGAAATACCATCAAATTTTAGAATAAGTTTAGATTTGTTTGAATTGGTCACCTTTGGCACGAATTATGGCCTTCAGACGGCTAATGAAACCGTCACATGCTGCCCCAACGTTACTCTGGCCCATTCCCGGCGAAGCGCATGTTTGAGGTAATCGACACTTTGGTATTTTTTAGTGCCAACCTTGCTTTTCAAAATATTCCAGACATAATAGTCCAACGGATTGGTATCCGGAGATTTTGGTGACCATTGTGCGCTGGAAATGAAGCGAGGAACCTAGTTTTGTAACCATTCCTGGGTGGCGCGTGCTGAGTGCAATGGTGTTGAGTCGGAATGTCCAAGGTCTGCGGCCAAAATGTTGGCGTGCCTTAGGCTTTAATACACCCTCCAGAAAATTTTCGCGATAATATTCGACATTTATTCTGATGCCACGTCGATTAATACGAGCGGAGAGCAATCATTGGCTGTTATGGCGGCCCACACCATCACCATGTCCGGCGCTTGAGTACTGATGGCCAAGCGAAGGTGCACATTTTCAGCTGAACTCTTTGGCAAGTAAACACAATAATTTTGTTTGTTTACAAACTGCTGGACAACGAATGTTTTCTCATCGAGGAAAATCAAATTCGGCAGTTCACCACTGTCGGCCAAGCGAACCAACTCTTTAGCTCTTTTGAGTCTATTTTCTTTCTGTTGCGGTGTAAGTTCTAGAACTTTTTTGGAATTTCAATGGTTTAAACCCGAGCTCATTTTTCAACATTTGCCGAATAAAATATCGCGATATGTTCAGCTCACGATCCATTTTCGGCCACTTCGACGTGGGTTTCGATCAAGTCGCTTCTTTACTTTTCGAACCATTTCTGCTGATGTTGCTGTTTTCTTCCGTCCATTTCCTTGACGTCGGGCTGAGCTACCAGTATTACGGTAACGAGCGATGGTACGCGACACAAAAGATTTATTAACATTTAAATGCTGGAGTGCTCCAAATATAAAGAAATCACACTATCGCACTTGAATTCCATCACGAATAACTTTTTTCTGGAAAATTCTCGCCAAAATGCGTTTGTAAGCTTGTAAAAAATAATTTGAACATCTTTCGGACGATTTGCTTAGAAATGACAGCAGTCTTAAGTTGGTTGCAGTTTTTTCATCTCACCCTGTATATACACTATTTATAAAAGTTCCCATATTTCGGTACATGGTGTTAGTAGGTACTTCAATGTTTCAACTCTTTCAATCGTAATGGCTATGGTGTGGTACTCATCGATTATCGATGGGAGGAAATTCAAATTAGGTAAACGT